GGGGAGAGAAGGATGGACTTTAAAAAAAATCTTCACCCAAGGATACATATTTTATTGATTTTAGAGAAAGAGAAAAAGAGCGGGATGGAGAGAAACATTGATGTGAGAGAGAAACACTGACTAGTTGCCTCCCATATGTATCCCATCCGTGAATTGAACCCATAACCTAGGTATGCCCTGACCAGGAATTGAACCCGCAACAGTTTGGTGTACAGGACAATACTCCAACCAACTGCGCCACCCTGCCAGGGCATGAGTTGGTTTTTAATTGAAACTTTGAATTCTATGATATATGAGCTAAGTCCTTCTTAGGACTTGGAGTGGTGCCTTAGAGCTGTCCATTCCATTTATCCTGGAGGTGAACTGTTTCTTACTGAAGAGAACACAGTTTGGACTCTGCTATCACGAATGCCCTCTCCTCACTTAGGTAGACATGTTTGGGCTAAGTGACCCTACCTCTGGTGTTGGAGTTAGATGGCAATCAATCCGTTTCTACAGCTTAAAACTCTGTCCCAGGACATAGAAGCTGCCAGTGGAGGTGCTGGGCTCTGGAACAGAAGGATCGGTGACCTTCACAACAGAGGCTGCCCCGCTGTAAGCAAGACTCGGGTGCAAGCTCCAGTTCTGGCAGAGAGGCCAGGAGAAAAGCAGAGCATCATGCATTGAGCGGCCTGCGATGGCTTTCAGGAGGCCTTCTTTCACATGGGTTCCTGGGTCAGAGAATCCGCTATTACAGCCTCACGGTAGACCCTGCGATGGAGTTTGAGTAGGTTTCTGACCCTTAGGATCTCGGACTTAGATGCCTGCTGAGGGAGAGCCATCATTTGTCCCCGTGAGCCCGGGGGAAAGCCACACAGTCTCCGTCATCAACAGCAGGGGCCAGGGACTGCCCTGCACGTGACTCTTCCTATGGTGTGGGTAGGAGCCACAGAAGACACAGGCCTTCAGGAGTGCCATCCGCCCTGCGGACACCCAGGTGTCCCCGGTGCTGGGGAGCCCGTGGGAACACACGGCTGTTGCTGGCTGCTCTGAGCAGCACCTCCCCTGCGACCTACCTTCGGTTAGTCCATCCTCCGAAGGCTGCCTCCCGTCCTTCCTGATCCCCCCTAGAATGGAAAAATATAAAAGTAACTCTCCTCAGTGTTGTCGCAGTCTGTTTGCCACCTGCCTCCTCATCTTCCTGTTTAACTGTACCCCCGTCACAAAAACACGCATACCTTTTAACCGAATTGCAGCTCATGCAAGGAGTGGATCACGTTCGAGTCATACCCCACTCTCACGGTCACACTCTCATTCCTCCCTCCCTCACCTTGACTCCTCCCCCCTCCCCATCCCATCCCAACCTTCCCTTTTCATCTGGAGGAGCTGAGTTCAAGGCGCTGGATGGCGTGGAAGAGAGTGAGGAGAAACACAGCCCTTGCAATGACTATTCTAGAGACGATGGATGTGGAAGACAAGGTGAGTCATACCTGGCAGCATGTTTTTCAGAAATCTTTCAATATGTCACTAAAACTTAAAAGGAAAAAGTTTTTACATAGAAGCATAGCTAAGGCAAGAGGTGAAGTAAAAATAGAAGAATCCACCCAGAATGTGCAGAGATCTTAATCTGTGAGGCAGGAAATAGGAAGGGCACGGTGAACAGTGCTGCCTCTTCATCTGAGTTGTTCCCTTTGGCTTCGGGTGATTTTTATGTATATTTTCCAATGGGATGAAGTGAAGCCCACGGTGCATTGTTTTTTGTGGGGATTTTTGGGTGCATTGTTTATAGTTACATTGTTTTTATATTTTCTGGCCATCCTCTAGTCACCTTTTATGGGTATAATTTTACTGGTTGCAGCCCTCCCCCCCCAAAAAAAAAATAAAATAAAAAGTTTCCTCTAATAGTCCCTGCAGTGTCTGTACCGAGTGGGAGGACAGAACATTCTAGACTGTGTACTCCAAAACCTACCATCTAATTCTGTTTCTGCCACGAAGCATGTCCCTTGCCCTCCGCTTCCAGGTCCTTCCCTGTCCTGGGAGGGCAGTTGGATTTGATGATTTTTAAGGTCCCTTTTACCCTAATGTTGTGATTTCTTGAAAATGTTGTTTGCTGGCGTCGCCCACACACTTGGGAATGAGAGGCGAGTGGCTGGCGCCGCCCTCAGAGATCTGGATGCAGATTGTTGCACTTTCTTATGTAGGCCACCGGCCGCCATTCACACGCGTCTGAGGTTTCAGAACAGGAAAATAGGTGGGGTTAACCTTGCCCACGAGAAGCATCTTGGCGGAGTTATGATTTCAGTTGAAAGATGTGTTTTTGCGACGGGAGCACCGCCGACGAGCTGAAGGCTGGTTTGTGTGCTCCGGGCAGCGGTGCGGCCATGATTCTTTCCACCTGTGAGTACGATGGCTTTGTCGCTGGGCTTCAGGCGTGTTTTGTTCTGGGCACGGTACTGGTTCTTGAACACCGGAAGGTGTTTTCTCTAGGGCATAGGGCTGGTGACATTTTGAGGATCCTTTTCCCCCATGGGACAGGGTCTTGTTATTTGAATAATCATTGTGGTGATATCATTTTAGTAAATGCTCAACAATGAGAGAATGCAAAAGAGAGCAAAACAAAAAACTGTCCTTAAATCCTCATGAGAGAAATTGCGTTTGAAAGGTGACTGTTTTTTAGAATGATGTCTAACGTCAACAACTTGGCTGAAGGCGAGGAAACCAAGTTCTAGCTCTGGTCTGCTGCAGCCCAGGTGGGTCACCTGTGGCAACTTCTTTATACCAGGTTCTGTTTTCTCCTTCCTATTGATTTTAGAGAGAGAACAAGGACGGGAGGGAGGGAGGAAGAGAAAGAGAGAGAGCAATTTGTTGTTCCACGTATTTGTGCGTTCACTGGTGGATTCTTGTATGAGCCCTGATTAGGGATCGAACCCACAACTTTGCTGTATTGAGATGAGACTCGAACCAACTGTGCTTCCTGGCCAAGGGCTGTATCAGGTTCTCATCTATAAAATGGTGACTCTCCTTTTTGCCCCCCTTCCAACAAGACATCATAAAGAAACAATAGATAAAAAGGACACATCCTTCCTGAACTTAATTTTGAAGTTGCTTTGGAAGACTATTTCAGTCCCATGTGCAATTTTTGGAAATGCTTATTAATTTAGCTCAGAGGGCCTTATCATGCAAATAATTAAAACTACGGAAGAAAAATAGCCTTTGATCTTAATTCTGAATGACAAAGGAACCAAGCTTTTAACAAAGCCCAGTCGCATCAGATTAAAGCAAAGGCCAGCTAACAAAATTTTTACAGTTCTGATTTTTAAGTGGCAGTAGGAGAAAAGGGATTGCAATTTTAAAATGTTATCTGTTTAAGCCAAATCACCTCATAGGACCCAACACTAGTTGTAAGAATTTGTAAAAAACTAAACCCGGTTATTTCAGTTAACTGACCTGAGTATAAGTTAGGGTCTTAATCCTCTGGTAGATAAACATGGGCTGTCTGGAGCGCAGGCCAGGCAGAGCCAGGCAGAAAGCGCTCAGAGGCAGCAACCTCTCCCGCCTCCCCCAGGGGCAGGACCGAGATGAACAGTGACTTAATAAAAACCCTTTTATTAAAAGCTATGTGAGCATCTGCTCTTCATTTCTCCTGAGGTCAGAACTAGGGAGAAGGCTGTAAATTACAATGGGAAAGGTTGGGTTATATATAAAATAAGGAATGGTTGGGCCAACAACTAGGGATTGCCCAAGGGGTGAAATAAGAGACTGCCTATCGGCGAGGATATTGTGAGGATCTCTCTGTCTAGCCTGGAAGGACATGGATTTGACGAACTCTCCCTGTCCTTCCAACTTCTGATAATTTGATTTGATGGTAAGAATTACCTGTTCTTTCTGCTATAAATTACAAATTGACATGGCTCCTTTTTCCTTTTTTTTTTTTTCTGGGTAAAACCAAATATTTACTGTTGATAAGAGAACAAGCCTCCAAGATATTACTGCAAATCCAAAACATGCTTGTGTGTGTCTGCTGGGCCAGAGTCATTTGCCAGATATTCTTGCTGTTTTAAGTGCTGTGTACCATAGAAATCTGGCCTCAGGCTGCTGCAGGGCAGGGCATGCGAGGAGAACATGGTGGAAGGGGAGACACTGATCAGACTGAATGGGAGAGAGCCCGAGATAGCTAAGAACCAGGAGGTCATGGTTCAATTCCCAGTCAGGGCACATGCCTGGGTTGCAGGCCCCATCACCATTGTGAGGCGTGCGGGAGGCAGCCCATCAGTGATTCTCTGTCATCATTGATGTTTCTGTCTCTCTCTCCCTCTCTGAAATCAATGAAAAAAATATATATATTAAAAAATAGCCCTAACCGGTTTGGCTCAGTGGATAGAACGTCGGCCTGCGGACTGAAGGGTCCCAGGTTCGATTCTGGTCAAGGGCATGCACCTTGGTTGAGGGCATATCCCCAGTGTGGGGTGTGCAGGAGGCAGCTGAATCGATGTTTCTCTCATCGATGTTTCTAACTCTCTATCCCTTTCCCTTCCTCTCCAAAAAATCAATTAAAAAAAATTTTTTTTTAAATGCATGTTTCTGGACTCATCTCCGTAATTTGACCTGGGAGGTGAAGTCGGGACCCCTTCCTCGGACTGTCTTTCTAGAGCCTCTTTTTTCCACGCCTTCTTTTATTCCTTCCTGTATTTCATTCCCACACCAGCCCTGCTACGTTAAATCTTCCATTATTACTATTCATATGAAGACAGAGGGTGGCTGTCCAGCCAGTCCCTACGACGGCCACTCCTGTCTTCATGCCCTGTGCAGCCCCTCTCCCTGAGGACGCACTGGGCCCAGTAGCTCCTCGTGAACAG